CTCTACTACGCGTAGTGCTTTTTAAAGACCACACCCGCCTTTTCAAACGCTTTCGTGGGAGTGAACAGATCGATATTTTTGCATCGGTCTGTTGCTTGCCTGTCCTCACACATTCTAGCGGGTGTAGGTGCATGGATAACCATGCGTAATGCAGCAGTAGCAGGAGTTATCATGGCAAGTTGCCAAACAAGCGCGATTTAGCCGCTACTTGATACCAGCGCCGTTTGGCAGTCACAGGTTGGATTCGGCAAGCTGTTTCCTAAGGGACCAATTCGTGCCGCCGACGGATGGATGAGTCACGTCTGGCAGAAAAGAAATGCGTGCCATTCATTGGTGGCCTTTGTGAGTGCTAGCATGTCGGGGTATCTCAAAAGGTTTGGCCTCTTTTGGGTATTATTGTGCTTCTGCGAAATCACACCACATGTTTGAGAGATACCCGATATGAAGTCACTACTGGAGGCAAGTGCTTCGCAGTCTCCAAGTAGAGCTTCATTGAAACGGTTCCCCAAGCTCCAGTCCTAAAAGGATACCCTAAACTCATGGGGAGGGGGAGGTACCATTTCTTGGGTCCGTATAAAAACGATTATCGTAATTTTTGGGTCAGTCTATGTTGGGATTAGGGCTTAAAACCCTAAACATCAGCACCAGGGCAACATCATAAAGTCAGCCTTTTGCCAAAGCACACAGGGCAGAAGAAATTGGTTGGAGCCTGAGTCGATTGCACCGAGGTGCTGCTACTTGTCTTTCCGCATGGCCCAAGATGTTGCAGGTCCATCATTCTTACTTCTTGAGGATTGTTGGGTTGTTCCTTCATCATACGTGGCGGCAGAAGCTTTGCGACTTCGCCGTGACTCGCTTGAAGAAAGTAAGCGAACATCTAGGGGCATGTGCGGCCGTACCTTTGCATGTCATCAAAAAACTGGGTTGTTGTAAAGGAGTTTAATTTAAGCTACTACATGGGGGAAAGCATATCAATTACTATATATATACACACTATGGTAACTTAATTTAAGCTCCCGAACAGCAACCCAGAAAAAGTGTATGCCAGCGCATTACGCCTTTAGAAGCGTGAGGCATGTGGCTCCTTGGCCACAGTCCGAGAAAAGCTTCAAGGCTTCTTGTTTTGTAGTAGAATATGCCAGGACTAGGTGTATTTTCTTATGCTGCCAGTGTTTTTTCTTATGCTCCGGGCTGGTGGGTGCTCGATTTTATGCTCGTGGTGCTTTGTGTTATTCACACACACAAAGCATCAGCATACTTTTCAAGCTCACACTATGTATGGCGAACGTGATTGGACGATTGGACGCATCTGCAAACTTTGT